TCAATAAATTACTTAAATTTGCAGATATTAAGGTCTTGGGTGTTGCTAGCTCTGAAGAGGATGCTGCTGATTTACAACAGGATTTAGATCATTTAGTGAGCTGGACAAATAAATGACAAATGGGTTTTAATTATAATAAATGCAAGATAATGCATGAGTGTTATCATAATTTGAATTATAAGTATAATTTGGATGGTAATAACTTTAGCAGTGTCATGACAAAAAGGGATCTTGGTGTAATAGATTATCAGTCTCTAAAGCCAGCCATGCAATGTGCTGTTGCTAGAGGTAGGGCAAATAAGATTTTAGATTGTATCTACAGAAATATTAAATAGTCTAAAAGAGATTATAATTTCATTGTACAGGTCACTGGTTAGGCCATATTTGGAATATTGTGTTCAATCTTCGGCTCCCTACCTTAGGAAAGATATTGAATTGATAGAAAGGGTTACTAGAATGGTGCCTAGGATGGAGGGGTTGGTCATATGAGGAGAGGCTGAAATCTCTCAAATTGTTTTCTCTTGAAAAAAAAAGGGTTAGGGGGGATCTGATTGAGAAAGTTTAAGATTATAAAGTGAATTAATAGTGTTGATGCATCATATTTTTTCATATTTAACAGTGAGAATAGTAGGACTAGGGAACACAAATTTTGGCTAGGTAGGAGACATCTTCAGCTAAGACAGTTTAATTTTTATAACAAGGAGGTTTGCCTTTGGAATGGGTTGTCTTCGGATGTTGTAGAGGCAGTAAGTTTATGTGAGTTTAAGAAAAAGCTTGATAAGTATATTAATGATAAGGGCTGGCTTTAAGATTCTATTTTTTTTAATTATTTTAACTTAGTTTAGAGGATGGAACAGTTTTTATGGACCAATAGGCCCCATGTTGTCCCAAAACATTATTTTTTCTGGAAGAAAGGCTTGGTATTACTCTATGAAAAGAAACTGCTCTCTAACCAAGTATAAATGAATGAAAAATACAAAATAGAAATTATTGGAGCATGTAATATTGTCATAAATAACTAAAACAATGAATTTCATGAATACATTTTTCAAGTATACCTTGCTATACTTTGTATAGTGTATGTCTATTTCACTGATGCGTGTCTTAACCATGGCACTTGTTTTAAGACCTGAAATATCTTTGCTATAAACACTTTGTTTCTGAGTATGTCTAATTTACATACTTTACACTTGTAACACAGTTTGTGAATAACTATTTCTTGACAGTGCATTTCTACATTAAAAGCAAGAATTGTTCATTTTTCAGAAAATCATACAAAGCCATTTATCAAACTAAAATCACTGTAGTTGTCAGTTTTAAGTCTGGTTATAAATGATTCAGAGCCTACAACATTTTTGAGGGGACAGACTTAGAACTTTCTTTGAAGTGCACAGTTAAATCTTAAGTGTTATTCTTTCATTGACTTACAAGCTAAAGATAAGTTTTAGAATCCTTAAAATTCTTTAAGATTGCTTCAAAATTCCAAGAAAATACAGATGAAATTATTTCACTTGTAGTTGATTAACATGTGGTTTGTGCCATTGAATTTAAATTATGGTGTAAATGTATAGTGCTCTTCTGACTCTGTGTTCCTTATGTGCAAAATAGTAAACTAGATTATAGTTTGTTTGAACAGTACTATAGTCTTAATTGATTTCTTTATTTTCTTTACCAGGATTGTTTGGTGGTGCTGGTGTAGGAAAAACAGTACTAATCATGGAACTAATCAACAATGTGGCTAAAGCCCATGGGGGTTATTCTGTATTTGCTGGTGTTGGTGAAAGGACACGAGAAGGAAATGACTTGTATCACGAAATGATTGAATCTGGTGTCATTAGTTTAAAAGACAAGACTTCTAAGGTTATAGTTGCCTGTTAATATTTATAATTTACTGTTTTTTTTATTTTCATATTAGTAATTTAAAGCCATGCCACTTACATTTGCAATATTTAAAATATGAATTTCCAATATTAAAACTATATAGCAGATACTGTAAAGAATTAGATCATGTATTAAAAAAAGTTCCCAAAATTATAACTGAAAAAAAAGTTTAAAAAAGTGAACCAACCAACTAACACCAAGAACTGCCTAATTTGCAAAAATGCTTGCATTCATCAACATCATTAATAACTAATAATAGTTTGTAAAATTATCAGTTTTGTCAGACATTTGACTATTTCTCATAGTCAGAATTCGAAGTTTTAGAAGGGCTACTTGTTCCAGGACAAGTGGCATAAAAAATTTTACTAATCTTGCATAAAGCTTTACTTGTCTTTACTTGTGTTTCAAATAGTACCACCCTCCAGTGTGATGAAATAGGCCATGATAAAACATTACTGTTTTTCTCATTCTTTTTTATGGTTGATTTAGCAAATTCTGTACTCTGGTTTAGCTCATAATTTTCATGGTTGATACACTGAATGTTTCCAACTCTTAGCATGAAAGTTTAGTATATTTTTTTTTTTAACTTTCTTTAATATTTACTGCTAAAGTCAATCCTTTCTTTGATATTGCCTGTTATTTGTGACAAACTACAAAATAACACCATGGACTCAATGGCAAACTCAGCCCATTCAAACTCTGCTAACCTTGTCTTCTGGGTGCTTCTTTTCCTTTTCAAAGAATTGCACTCCTCCTGCTATGTTTTTTTTCTACTTGCTTTTTTCAGTTTCCCTAACCCATTGTACACCGCTAAGGAACCTTTGTATGTTTGACATTTTTCAAGGTCATGATAAACATGCTAAAACTTTATAATCAAACCTTATTCTCAGCAGCAATTTCCTAACATTATCAACTCATCCTGACCAAGAATTATTCATGAAAGGGGTCCCAGAATTGCCCAATAAATGAATGAGTAGTGAGAACAGTGACAGTGTATTGAAAAAAAAAGGGATTTATTGAAGTCTAATTACTTTTAGTGTTAAATACAAACAAATTATTATGAACTAGCTGAAATAATGCACTTATCCATGGGAACAATAAACATTTGTCATATGAGCTAGTAAAAACTGGACATCCTTTCCATTTTCATAAATGAATGTATTAGAAAACTGCCATTAGTTTCCTGATTCTGTCAAGAATGGCCTATACAGCTTTTTGAAATGTGTGCTTTGGTATAACACAGTGTTACTCTTTCATTCTGATTTCCTCTCCAGTTCTGTAACATTTGTGTTGTTACAGTTGTGTAGATGCTGTTTTGATTCTTTCAGTTCTTCCTTGTTATTTGGGTTTGTCACTTGATTTATCAAATTATCTGATGGCATGATCAGAAAAATATGCAAACTGTCATTGGTCCATAAAGCCTTATCTATCAGGAAGAGTGACATGTTGCCTGACATCCATTGTGTAGTGAAACCACATGCTCTCTCGTATGTTCTGCAGTCTCCAGGCCAACATGTTCCTACAAAACAGCAAGACAGCCTTCTTCATTCAGCATCCTGTGATTGTTTGTGGTTTTCTTGGGACCAATATTGGCAGTTTTGGAAGTTCATTTCAATGTTGACATAAAGCATGGCTTCATCTTTCCACCCTGAATTCATCAATTTACTTCTGTTCCATGGACTGTTTACAACTTCAAACATTGATCTGGGTCAATAACTGAAATACTTGCATCTTGTAAGGATGAAATTATGTTGCTTCAGAATCTGGAGAATGTTTCTTTAGCTTATTGTTGGTTCTCCTGTATTTTCACCATATGATCTTTTTGGGCTTACTAAATAGAGAGTTTCCAAAAGATCCTCATTTGCTGCTGTAGAAAGCCTGCCACTGCATTTACTTCCACACAATCTTGCAAAGTTAATGACATTCAACTAATTGCTGTAGCAAAAGAAAGACAGTTAGTGAAACACAAATATGACTAGAAAAAGCATAGTAAAGGTGGGACTTAACATATCGTGATTGGGCATAACTTTTTCATTAACCCCATGTACATAGGGTCAATCAAACATTAAAACAAAATGCCTCAAAACTATTAGATTTCTAGCTTTCTAATTAACCTAAACGTAGGTTAAAACAATTTTGTTACTTACCAGAGCACTGACTTCGGTCTATAATCAGTAATATTGGATTAGGAAATAATTTTACTGAAATATATTAATGTTATAATCATATAATTCACAAAATGGTCTTTCTGTTGATGATAAATAAGCATGGGTAAATAATTTTAGTAGCATAAATTGAGAAGAGATTCTGTGGTGGGGGTAACAAAATTACTGATATCTTAAATAATAAAGTGGGAGGTTCTTATTTTAATTTCTAGCCTGTCAATATCTGTAGTTGATGTTTCTCATTGGTTAACTTTCTGAAAACCATATAAGGAAAGAAAGAAAATCTAAAATGGAGAATTCAGAGCAGGGAGGCCTCAAGTGATACGGAAAAGTGAAAATTGAGAATATGTTCAAATATTTCACCTTTAAATTAAGAAATTTCATAATCTTAACTTCAAGGTTTCCATTAAAGAAAAGTTTTGTTATTAATTTTTATAACTTTAAATGTGTGTCCAGGGGTGGGGGTCAAAGTGTGCATTTTATGACCTTTTAAAGTGTTACTTTCAAAATTTAAAGTATTATCAAGTGGCATCAAAACATAGTTTATAATTCAAATCTTATTATCATACAAGTTTTAACTTAATATTTATAAATTGTCTTCATATTTATCTGCAGGAACTTCTCTTATACAAAGACAAAGTGACTGAAACGAAAACACTTATAAATACTGTATGCAATATAAGAATGGTGCTGTTGAAAAATCATTTTAAAGTTACGATATAATCCATATTCATTAGTAACAAAGTTAAAGTAATTGGGTTATGTAATTAATAGTTTAAACTAGGATTTGGATAGCGAAGGAAAACAGTTGCAGAGATTTTCAGAAGATTATATTGATTTACAAATTTAAAGTACTTTATTTCATCTTAGAATTTACTTTTCCTCTTAGGTGTCTCTGGTATATGGTCAGATGAACGAACCACCTGGTGCTCGTGCCCGAGTAGCCCTAACTGGTTTGACAGTTGCAGAATATTTCAGAGATCAAGAGGGTCAGGATGTACTGCTTTTTATTGACAACATTTTTAGGTTTACTCAAGCTGGATCAGAGGTATTCTTATTACCTTAAGTAATGTAAATAAGTACGTACTTATCTTTACTTGGAGTTTTTTTGTATAAATCTACTAACTTACATAGTGTAATGGGGAAAAATTTAACTATTTCATGATTTTAATTTGATATGAATTTGTACTTAAGAAATGCTTATTTCATTTTATTACTTAAATTGAACGATGTTGAATGGGAATTTTAAAGACATTGAATATCTACAAAAAATTGGTTATTTTTCCTTATGGAAAATCTTGAATATTTTTGCTTGATGTTTTTGTTTTCTAAAAACTAGGATAATATTTGGTACGTAAAATTACAGAATTACATCGGTAATATTTTTACATTCAAAAAAAACTAATTCTTTTATTTGCTCAAATAACTCGGGTGTTTTTGATTGAAGAAAATATTTAGTACCTCATTCAGTATGTAGTTCTATTGACACCATTTCTACTGTTTCAGGTATCTGCTCTGTTAGGTCGTATTCCTTCTGCCGTAGGTTACCAACCAACTCTAGCAACTGATATGGGTACCATGCAGGAAAGAATTACCACTACCAGGAAAGGATCCATCACATCTGTGCAGGTTAGCTTACGATAACTTGTAGCACTAGAATATTTCAATTTTTAAATTCATTTCCTCCGGTTAGTACACATCTTGTTAAAATGAGTTGTAATGATGTTTTGATGTTGATATTTCAATTTTTAAACAAAGTATTTTACAAACAAACAACATCTGAGATCCTTCTGTCATGTCTAACAAGCAAAGTTATAATTTTGAATTCATCTCCTGACTTGCATGGTGAAATTTAGCTTAAATTGTAAGAAACAATGGCAAATCAACTGTGGGAGTATCATTGATATTTAATTATTCAAGAGTGTCAAGCAAGTTACACAATTAAATTTTATAAGAGTGATCTTTAAATAGTCAAATACCTTTTCAGTGCTTGCATTATTCCCTCAAAATACACAAAACATTGCACAAACTAGCTTTGAGATAGTATCGTCAGGTTTAGTTTTAGTTGCTATTGTAATGCCATGTGTTTTAAACTTGAAAGACACAATATCATCCACATAATTTATAGCTGTTCTATCAATAATGATGGGGAGGACATTTCACTATTTAGTTACTAGACAATATGGTTGTTTAGGGAAAAAGTACTTGTTTCAATTAACCCTAATTGCTCTCATTTCTACAGTTCTCACTGCTAAGAACTGAATTCTGTTAAAGGTTTGGCAGAATATTTCAGCAGTGGAAAGAATTACAATTTCAAAACTAACAAAATAAATAATATATATATTATGCTTAATTCTTGTAAGAGGATTTTAAAAATGGTTTTAAAAGATGCAATAGACTAGAATAGAAATTGAGAACTAAATTTTGCTTCTAATATGATTATATAAACCCTATTTTCTTTATCAAGAACTTGTGAAGAAATTTGTATTTAAGAGGTGTTCACTCATGTAAACAGTTGGGTATTTTTTATATTAAAATGATAAATTTTTAAATCCTTTAGTGATGGTTTGTATTTTCAGTAGTCTTTGATATAGTATAGCCATAATCAGTATATAATTTGAAAATTACTTCATTATTTGAGTGATTTAAGATAACCTGGATTTTATTCTTAGAATGGCAATATATATAAAGAAGTGCCACTTGTGGTACCCCCTGGTAAACTTTCATGGCTTGTATGTTAAAAATTGTGGTTCAATACCCATGTTGGGCACAATGTAGATAGCCCATTGTTGTAGCTTTACGCTTAAATACAAACAAACCAATTGAGTTAGTTTTTAATGACAAGCTTGGATAGCAGTATAAGCACTAGTCTTTATTGATTGCTATTACTCTGAACCTGTTTTATTGCTAACAAATGATTTAAGAAAGAATGTGATTACATGTTAAATAATGTATTAATTGGTCCAAAGGTCAATAAGAATTTTATGTTGATTTCTACAGGTTAAAATTTAAAATTTTTAGGGTATCATTATGACATTCTACTAAAAATTAAATTGTGGTACAAATCATTGTTAGGTACCTCAAACAAAAATGTTATTTTATTCATTTCTCAGTAGTTTTGTACTTATTTAAGTGTAATAATGTTTAGAGAAGGCTTGAATGGGTAACAAAGAAAACTTTTATTAGTAGCATAGTGGGCTTTCCACATTTAATTTGAAATTAAAAGTAGTCTTCACCAGTAATTGAAATGCATTGAACCTTTGTTGCCTTTTTAACTTTTCAGGCTATCTATGTGCCAGCTGATGACTTGACTGATCCTGCTCCTGCTACCACCTTTGCTCACTTGGATGCTACCACTGTGTTATCCCGTGGTATCGCCGAGTTGGGCATTTATCCTGCTGTTGACCCACTGGACTCTACTTCTCGTATTATGGACCCTAATGTTGTGGGTAGGGAACACTACGATGTTGCCCGTGGTGTACAAAAAATTTTGCAGGTTTGGTTAACTCTTACTTCTACTTCCATAATTGTTGATGCTTTGCTTTTAGATTTGTTGTTGTTACACCCAATTGTTATTTTTGGTTTCTTTGCTTGTATTTTCTAACAATATTTGCTATTTGAAACTTTTTATAAAGAAAAATTTGTATATATAGTAAAGGCAGCTCATATGGGTATAGAAAACTTTTATTTGAAAAGCACATATGCTTTGTTTGACTGTTGTAATGCTTCAAGATTTACATTAAACTACTCTGAATTACATTACAATGAACTTGGCAGTTAACTTAGATATGAGCTACACGTCTTCACTAGTTTCATGATCACTGCTCACAATTTTCAAAATGTCTGCTACTTTTTAGAAACTTCTAATTTTTGTGTTAAATTGAGTGTATTAACAATAACTTAAGTTCTTATTGGAGCTTATAATAAATATGTAATTCTTTAAAGGTAATTTAGCTTTAAACACTACACAGTATCACACATATATATTCACTAAATAATAGTTATACCATCGAAATATAACGTAATGTTTATCAAATGCTTAAAGTTGACAAAACTATTAATTTCAATTTGAATGAATAAGTATGAATAATATTTTGATATAACAAAATTACACTTATTAAATTATTTTGTTTTAAACATTGAAAATATATTACTTATGTTTGTATGCATCTCAGGAGATTGAATTTGGCTTGCTGTAATGGTGTGTCAATACTAAACTAAATACCCTGTAGGCCTTCCTCATAAATTGTACATCCTTGAAATAAAACACCTACATACAAGCAGTGTTTTGAAAATGCTGTTGAATATTGTATTTTCAATATTTGAAATAAACCTTTCCATTTTCTTGTTTTAGGATTACAAATCTCTTCAGGATATCATTGCCATCCTTGGTATGGATGAACTGTCAGAGGAAGACAAGTTAACAGTTTCACGTGCCAGAAAAATTCAACGATTTCTATCCCAACCTTTCCAGGTAGCAGAAGTGTTTACAGGCCAGGCTGGAAAATTTGTACCACTTGCAGATACCATCAAGGGATTCAAAATGATTCTAGAAGGTTTGTTAATTATTTTGGTATTTATGTTAACAAAAATGTTTTTCTTAAATTAGAAATTTTTTTGAAATATTGTAAATTCATACAGACTTGCCAGTTTCTAGAATTATAAAAGTTTTATACAAGATATCTATGTCAGTGGTCTTGAACACACATAACAAACTGTATCCTGGAATAAATGGCAGTCAACTACAGAAGACTGCACACACGTAACTGCATCATTTTGACATTTTACTGACATTTAGGATATTGATTTATATGTGGGTAACAGTGTTGAAGATTACTACAAATCAATTCAAAATGGCCCGGCATGGCCAGGTGGTTAGGGAGGTTGACTCACAACCTGCAGGTTGCGGCCTTGAATCCCCGTCCCACCAAACGTGCTTGCCCTTTCAGCCATGGAGGTGATATAATGTGATGGTCAATCCCACTCTTTGTTGGTAAAAGAGTAGCCCAAGAGTTGGCGGTGGGTGGTGATGACTAGCTGCCTTCCCTCTAGTCTTACACTGCTAAATTAGGGATGGCTAGCGCAGATAGCCCTCATGTAGCTTTGAGCAAAATTCAAAAACAAACAGTTCAAAACCTGAAATATCTTGCTATTCATAAATAAGTAGGTAAAATGGCAAACAAACTGTTAGATAATTTCAATTTAACCCTGGGAACCACGGAGTGCCTTCTTTTAGGTGTTGAGTGCACACCTACATACCAAATTTTGAAATTTAAGTAAAAGTGTTCTGTTTCAATCATTTTTAACTGAAGACTACTTTAAAATTGATATTTCTTGTCATTATGTAAAACTTAGTTCACAAAGAAATTTGAAAAGAATTTCAACTTTCTTTTTTTGCCCAGCTCCAAAGATCCATGCTTGTAAACAACACAGTTACAAGTTAACTTTTTCTGCCACTCATAGTTTTCTAGCAAATATAAACCTATCATCCATTGAGAACACAGCTATCCACATTTTCTCATGTGATTTTTTTTTCCCTTCTCTTTTAGTGGTTTTAGTACTATAACCCTTTGTTCTAACCATGTTAAGATGCCACAGCATGTGATCTGAATAGTTACTAATGAAGTACAGTTTTGAAAATAGCTAGAGAAGATTATAAATTATTTATGTCAATAAAGAGTAAATAAAGCAGTTTGATTATTAATTTATGGTTTCTTAAGAAAGAAACTAGCCTTTGTTTCTTTGGAGGTGAACAAAGAAATGTAATCCAAAGTTTAGAAGACTTTGGTACAAACTACAGGTCTGGTAATGTACATATAGTTTATGTAGATGCTCTTTTTGGTCCTAAAATGTTTTTAACATTAAATTATTTGTGTGAAAAATGCTGAAGTTTTCTTGTGTGTCAAGACATTAGGTAAGCTTAGTTAGATTTAGCACATATGGTAGATATCAAAATATCCCACCAAAGTAAATTATTATTGAATATTAAGTTCATCTTATTCAAATAATGCACAGAAATAGAATAACTTATTTATTGAACAGAAACTATTAATAAAATTGATCTTGTCCAAGAATTATTGTTGGCAAAAGTCATCGTACCTAGTCTGACAAAGATGTTATTTTGAAAGGTCAGGTCCTAAGTTGTAGAGAAATGTTTATAATTTATAGCTGTTGTCTTTACTAAACTGTTAGCAAAATAAAACCAAAAAATATGTTAATAAATATCAGTGAAACTTAAACTGACTGGATGTATGAATAACTTTTTTGATCAACAATTAAAAAAAAACATTCTAAGATAAACGAATGAGAAATATGTCTTTCAAAAAGTTTTAAAATTTCATAACATAAAAAATTTTAGACACTGTTCAGTAAGTTTACCCTGAATTTCATACATAAAAAGTTCCACTGTAAGAAGGAAAAAGTCAAGAGATGTCACTGACTGTCTTCCAACCTTCCAAGAGTTACTGTTTGTAGTTTTGAATTGTTATCTCTTAGATAATTCCTTATAGAGGTGAGTGATGGCATTGGCAACTGTTAAAGAAAAAATCCTAGTTAAAGATGTAATTGTATTGTCATTTGCACACTATAGGAAATGATTGGGCATCATTTCTGTAAATCCCTTATGCCACTAAAATAACCAGAAACCTGTAAATTGTACTATTTTTTACCTGGACAGACCATAATTGTTATTAAAGGTAAAGTCCTGTGTTTATTGAGCATAATTATATAAAAGATTCTAATTGTTAATGTACTTTACATAAAAGTTTATTTTTGTTTTAGGTGAAATGGACCATCTACCTGAAGTAGCTTTTTACATGGTTGGGCATATTGATGAGGTTATCAGCAAGGCCGAGAAGTTAGCAGAAGAATCTTAATTTCTGATGTTTGTTTAGTGGTGTAGCTTTTGTTCAGTGTCTCAGTCTAGGGTTGTAGGTATACAGTGATTAACCTCAATCCTGTGGTTGAGGAATTTAGATTAGCAAGTACAGTTTGAAAAAACCAAAAAAGATTGAAGTAAATTTTGTCTTCGTTAGGCTTGAATCAACATTTTTTTTTAATCTCATAAAATAGTGGGCTCACGTTTTTCTGAACTGTACAGATGCTGCACACAGGTAGAACTATGGTGAATAAAAAAAATTGTGTAATTTCTTGTGGAGTGTTGTCTATGAAGGTTTAGATAATGAACATTATAACTTTTTTATTCATGAGATTACTGTAGATTAATAATTGAATATTTTTCATCTCATTTTTAATTACCTATACAAGATATAATATCGGATTGCAAACTGAAGCTTATATAGAGACAAATAATACTAAATATGTATTCTTTACCCTGAATAGTGTAAGCTGAAATTATGTTAAACGTGTATGTCATTTAATTTTTCACCAGTGCTAAAAGATTACCTTCAAAATTGTTTAAATAAATAAACTAATTGATAATATTAGCAGTTAAAAACACATGTAAGTATAATCATGCTTGTTCTAGTTATAATACATGAGAAGATTATAAGTTACTGCATATAGTTTTATTTATGGAACTAGAATATTTCGTCCTGCTAGATGATATTGAAAAAGTTCTACACCAGAGTACAAAAGTTGGTTAACGGGAACCTATTAATGTTTTAAGTTTGTTAATGGGCCTTTTCTTGGAACCTATTAATGTTTTAAATTGGTTAATGGGCCTTTTCTTGGAACCTATTAATGTTTTAAATTGGTTAACGGGCCTTTTCTTGGAACCTATTAATGTTTTAAGTTGGTTAACGTGCTTTTTCTTTGAACCTATTAATGTTTTTTCTTCAACAAATCTCAATACTGAGTTTTTTTGTTGTCTTGTTGTTTGCAACAAAATTATTACAATATTTTATACGTACCACAAGTTTGTATTGTTATCTCAACCACTGTGTCAAAGACTGAGTACAGGTACAGAAATATTTAACAACAAGAATGTAGGAAATCATTAAAGAAAAGTGGATGAGCGTGTTAAACAGTTTGTGGTTTGCCGATGCTGTTTGTTAAACAAAACAAATGACTTTGGTAGAAGTTAATTAAAACAGCATAAAATTCTTAAACATCCTAATTATTTACCCTTCTTGACTATAAAGGTCTGAGATTTTGGTACAAGTTTTTGCAGATCAATAAACATTGTTGTCCTAACTGTAGTCCTAGTCTCTCACGAAATGTGATAACTTATATGTTTCGTGTGGTTCATACAACTCGTTTACAATGTGGACGTTTGAAGTTTTGTAACAGTTGAGACAAGTCTAGTTTATCTTCAATATCCACTAGAAACTGTACATACGATTGATTTTAAAAACTGAAGACTAGATTTATTTTACGTAGTCCTTATGTTGTGGAACGTAAATGCTTAAAAGTGTGAAAACTTGTTTATTTCTATACAGTAGTAAGTGACATACATACACACAAGTAAAATCGTTCTGAGAATATAGAGAAAAACACTTTTTACAGAAGTATTGGTGCTGAGAGTAATTCATAAAAATTCTGAGCCAATATTTTAGAGAAATCCTAATTAAAGGAAAAACAATAACCCAATGAACGAACAAAAATAGAATGAAATTAAAATAAGTCTACTTTATGTCACCATTATTAAATAGGAATTATAAAAGCTTGATATTAGGTCGTCAAGAAATTAATGTCGCGTTTTGGAACACTTTCATTAACCACCCCCAAAAAACGTACATCACGTATAATAGCAAAATGAACCGCCTAAAAGTCACGTTAGTACAGCCTATATAATGTGTAAAGTTTAGTATACTCTAATCCAGGAATCACGAATCCGATCCGATTCCGGAGCGATATGCCAAGTAGCGATAAGAGGGGTGAAGAAGGCGGATGAGCTTCGCCGGTATGTGAATGGTTCGGCTGATTCCTGCACCATGGGTGAGTCGAATGACATGGATTTAGATAGGGACTGTTCAAGCAAAGGAGTGAGATCTGATTCTGGCTATAGTGAAGAATCTATCGGATACAAAAAGACAACTCAGGACAGAAAACAAATAGTCTTCCTTACTTCCCCAGACATCAACATAGCTAAGGTAAATCTCATGCTCTTGAGTTGAGCCTTTAACGATCTAATTGGGCCTACTGAAAAGATTCAGTTACAAACGGGTCGTATTAAGGTAGTTGTTCATACTCACAGTCGAGATTATTGTGTCAAAATAAAAACATTTGTGGATACAAAATTCATTCCCAAATTCAAGACGTTCCCCCACCTTCTGTTAGGGGCATCATTCATGGTGTCCACCTCGACATTACGGAAGAGAACTGTACAACCATAGAGGGTGTTACGAAGTCAGTAAGAATGACACGCTACAGTTAAAAAACCTATAAGTTCCATTATACTCCATTTTTCGACTACAGCTCTACATAAGAAAGTACATCTCAGCCTTTTGTCTTTTCCTGTCTGGAAATTTATCCCCCAACTGGACGCGATGCTTTAAGTGCCAACGTTAGTCATATTGCAAACGTGTGCCACAGTAATGTTCGGTGTTCAAAGTGTGGCGAAAATCACAATGTAAAGGACTGTACTAAGCAGACTCGGGTATGTTGTTTATGTGGGGGTGAACATTCGGCAGCATACAAGGACTGTGAAGGATAGTGCTTATAATAGCCCTCATACGTCACCTCAACTATTTGAACAAATCGTTACTTTTGTAGCCAAAATAATTTCGACCAGTCATTCTGGCATAAGAATTGCAGAAAATCGAGGATAACCGAATTGGCAAGTACCATTTTTGGTTTTGATATTAATCCAGAATCAATTTATGGCCTCTACCAAGTAAGTTCACCTACAAATAAATAATTGGTCCTTTACAAATATTACAGTGGAATGCCAGGAACATTAAGGTTCATGCACCATTCTTTATGCGTTACCTTGAAACTCACTGCATAAATCCCGATGTTATTTGTATTCAGTAATTGTTTCTCAAACCCCATATAAAATTCCGCATACACAGTTGTAAACCTATTCGAAAAGATCGAGAACACTCAGCAAAGGGAGGTGTACTTACTCTTGTCAAGAATCATTTGCTTTTCACTTACTTGCCCAGAAAGTATAGAAGCTGTTGGGATCAAATGTGAGACTTCTATGGGCAGAATAACGATATTTAATATTTATAATCCTGGTGTCGACATTGATCCTGCTGAGGTTCGAGAGTTTTTTGTTCCAAATAGTATCATTTGCGGAGATTTTAATGCTCACAACCCTTTATGGGGTGGAACAAAATTAGACCATCAAGGTCAGATGCTTGGATATCTAGTTATGGAATCTGATAAAGTGGTGTTAAATGACGGTCGTGGGGCATGTATTGTTTGGGGTAATCTCTGCTCTGGATCTAACGATTGTAGATATTAAACTTGCTAGTCTTGCTACCTGGTAAGCTATAGATGATGACCTGGGAAGTGATTATCTCCCGGTAATTACATCTGTTAAAGTCCCTTTTGAAGTTAAGAGTCCAACGACCTTCTGGAACTTTAGCAAAGTAAACTCGTTCAACTTCCGTACGTTCCTTGATTCATCCATTCAAAACATACATATGTCTTCTTCTGTCGAATCTGTATATTCAGGTCTAGTAAATATTATTTTGGAAGGAGCAGAGAAATTTATCCCACAATTAACCACAGACAGTGGCAAACATCAAACCCCTTATTGGAATATAGAATGTGAGAAAGCAGTTAAACTAAAAAAAAAAAGAGTAGGAAGAAAGCTTTTAAAACATGTCTCTTAGACGATTA